ACACCTGTCTTTCAAACCAAGACAGTAAGTAGTCCAAAATTTACATTGAGAATGCTAGTAAATGGCAGCTTAGCTATCCCAGCTTCTTCAGCAGAGCACGAAAGGAAAGCTGGTGTTAAAATAACCACAACCTAACTTTACAGAGTAGCTAGAGCAAAAATAACACCCTCTGCTCCTGGGTGAAGTTCTAGCTCTGCAGCATGCCGAGCAGTAGTAAACAGGAAAAGGGAGCTAAATTGGGAAGGTGACTGAAGGACACATATGTCTGTCCAGACTTCAAATACAGACATGGCTGCTATGATCCATTCTGAAACTGGGAACAAATATCCTCACCAACATCTTCTTTGCACAACATCCAACCTACTCTGCTGAAAATATCTCTCTTCATCAGCTGACAGCCTGATTTGAAGAAATAGTGCAAGATCAAGTACTTAAGCTACACAATATACATACGCATGTGTACCTGCTTGTATTACATCCTTGTATTTACCTACCATAGAGAGACGCACCTGCCTTTAACTCTGGATATGTCATCATCAGTGTGACATACATCAATACCACCCCAGCAAAACCCCAAATTTCTTTGCAGCACACTGTTCCTTTAGATATTTCAGGGCAGCATCAGTTTCTCTGGAACATATAAGCAAATGCAAATTAACCACCCATAGTAAAGCCAGTATTTGAAAATATGAAAAGAAAATATATGTGTCCCTATATCATGCTCCTACTGTATTTTCCTTCACATGCTCTAAATAAATCATTATTTCAGACAAATATTAGGGGTTGCTAATCTGGAATCATCAGAAAAAGAAAAAAAAAAAAAAGAACTGAATAGATTAAATAAAAACGCAACATGAATAATATACATCAAAGGAAACCTAAAGGGATGGAAAGTAGATGATTGATTGAACACCTACCTAAGAGTTAAAAAAGCTTAAAATTCTCTGAGAAGCTGGATTAATTTTTGCTTGCAAATGTAGATAGAAGAACCAAACAAAAACCCCTCCAGAGAATACTATTTGTTAGACAGTCAAAACACTGACAATAACTGTAAGTTAGCATCTTGAGATATTTGCTGCAGGAAAGCCAACGTAACAAACACAGTAGCTGTTTTCAGAATTTACAATGTAGCTTGAAATACACCTTGCCCAGATGCTGTATTCTGAGAACACCTATCTACCCCTGAAGCAGGTGTCGCCATGCAGAGGCAGTAAAGAGAAAGTATTGATGGGAGAGAGGTAGCAGTTAAGCTTTTTATATCATCTCAAGACTATATTTTTGGCCCCAGTTCCTCACCCCCTGGGGCAGGCAAGCTATATACGCCATCGATACGTCAGCCTCGCAAATACCACATTATCTGCCAACACACAAACACACACAGAATCAAATTAAGTGCCAAAAAATTTTCTCCACTGGAGCTCACACTCCTGTCATTGCCTGTAAGAAATGTCAGACAGAGTCCAACCCTTCCTTCCCATTGCAGCAGAGAGGGGACACATTCCAAACTAAAAAGTTTCCACAACAACTGACCCCTCTGAGACAGGAGCTCTCTGGAAATGATTCAGTTATGACTCCCATAACCTTCTCACCAAATACCTCAGCCTAGCAACCGTCAACGTAGTTACTCCCAACAGTCCAAGAAAGATATTTGCTCTCCCAGGAAGTCAATTAGTTTGGTCTCTAATTAGTCTGGCCCCTTCTCAGTATTGTCTTGCCAACAGCTTCCTCCTGCGTTATTAAGGCAGCACAGCACCTCTGCTAGTGACAGCTCTTTGCTGGTAAATGCCTGGGCAGCATTGCACACGGGAGGGGAAGACATGATCATCCTCTTGGCACCCAGCACCCTGTCCCCTAGGGAGCCACCAGCCCTCCCTGTGCCCTGACAACAGACGATCCAGCCATCAGCTACCTGGGGCCAGTTACACCATGCTGGGCAAGTACTACGGCACAATCAAAAATCTTTTTCTTCATACACGACATCTTAAAGTATCAGCCTGTTACACTTGGTGAGACTCAAGATGAGAATTACGCTTTCTCACTGCTTGTGTCACCGGTCATTTTTAAACCATGCTTTTTGAGGCAGAGAAAGCAACTAGCTCTCTATGTTATCAACATCATGATGACAAAACTCTTCACTAAGCTACTACTGAGACAGTTGTCCTTGAACTCTGTTCAGAGCAAAATAAAAGGTCACTGATTCCATCCACTTCTAAGGAGTCATTGAAAAAGGCCACATTCACTGGTGGATTAGCTGCATCTAATCTGAAAAAAAAAAAAAAAACAACAACAAAAAAGCAGTATCTGACAGCAGCAGGCAATGTGATATCCAGCTCCCTGACATCTTACTTGTTTATTTTCCTGGCATCTGAGTTTTCAGCCAATCATCGAACTTGGACCAGGCATCAGAAGGCTTCCAAGCTTCTCTTTCTGCAAAAAAGTCTGGGCAGATGGCTCTGCACACACAGACACATACAAGAAAACCAAAATTGAATGAATTAATCAAACACTGAGGTTTTTTGGCACTTCATAGCATGGAAAGTTTCTATCCAGGCATAATTTTGCTTTGAATTTTTTTTTTCCCTGAGAAAGTAATGTTTTTAAATATCATTGTCAACTATTCTGCAGAAATGCCTATGAGCTTTGGAAAACATTTATAGGTACCTATATAGGCTTTTTTCAATGACTGAACCACATAATACAATTTGTCATACAAATCTGGAAATTATGAATATTTTTATCCCTAATATTTTAACCGTTTTGAGTACATAATTTGAAACTCCACACAGCAAAACAACATATTATCTTGTAAAAGGTGATCAAACTAGGTCCTGATTACAACAATTTTAAATTTTGCACACAACATAATACCATTTAACATAAATCCATCATTAATGGGTTCCATTTAAACAAAGACAATTACATAAAGTAGTTATTTACTACAGAGCACATCATGAGGCTTACCCGTGAGCTAGGAAAAGAAACCAAACACCTGATGGACTGAGGTCATCAAAGAACAAGTGAAGGGAAGACACGTGGGAAGAAAAGGAGTGCTTTCTGCGGACATCATTTGGTGACTGTAAAAAGGGCAGTACAGTAAGAGTCCCCTCAGTACTAAAGAGTTCCTGCATCATGGGGGTGCCAAGCCCTGGCTCAGGAAGACCTCTGCAGAAATGTGCTGCATGACCAGCAGCAGAGTTGTGATGGTGCAGTCACTAGTGGGTAATATAGTCTCCTCAAGCAGGAGGAAACAAGAAGGGACTCTGGAAGCTGCCACCACTAGGTCACCCCCAGACGCTGCTGTGTGCTCTCCCACAATGGGATCCCTGGGAAACTGCAATCATCTTTCACTTATTAAATGCCTTTGGCTCTCTCCTTCCTCAGACACACCATATGTAGCTCAATGACCATGGTGAAATGATTGGATCAGTTTGGCCTAAAGCAGCCCAAAGTATTACAAGAAGAAGTATGACACGGCACAAATCACAGGGGAAAATTACAGGAAGTAAAGTAGCGTGGAGAAATACCAGTTCATCAGACACTGGGTACTTTGGACTGAGCAGACTCATACTGCAGTAAGGAAGCACACTCTCACACTAGTGAGTTGCCAGTATCCTGCACAGCATGAAATGTGTACGTCCGCTGTCATGTTGAGAGTGATTGCATTTGGTCACAAGACAAGTTACTTCCAATCATGGAGCAGAACAGGGGATGTTAAATCCTCAGGAAAGACAGCAGCAAGGAGTGGACTACGGACCAATTCATTGTTCCAGTATAACAGAAAACCCTAATCCTCACAAAGGTACTATCTTTATCTCTCGGAAACACAGAGCTCCTTTCAGCTCCACAGACAGATCTCAGCCACATGACAACTGTCTGCTGACATCTCACTTCTTTCATACTCCACGGGCTGAGAGCATTAAAGGCACCACCTCTCAAAATTAGACCACTACAGAATTAGGTGGAGGTTTGCTTTTTGGAACTGCAGGCCAGTCCCAACCCTATACGAATGTTTGTAATGTATACTACAACTGGCACCATATCCAGTTATTGCAAGGCGTTGCTGCATTTTGGAATTTAACTGCTGTAGGGCACTGAGAACGAGTGTGAAAGATTTGCAGGGCGGAAGGGGATTGTATTTAACACCGCGTGTGTGCATATGAATCATTCCTATGCATATATTCAGTGTGCATATTCAATAGTATGTTCAAAATACATGACATTCACTCATATTTCTGCTGATGACAATTTTTTTAAATCCCATCATATAATTTAGCTTGAATGACTGTTTATTTTTAAAAAAAAGACTTCTAAAAACAGAATACACACTTCTGTTTCAGAACACACTGTTTTTTAAAGCCATCTTACATTGCTGGGAAAATTATCAGAATCACTTTTTACTACACTGTGTTTTCAATATTCTACGCATTCTATGTGTGCAGTCACTCCTGTAACAGCAAAGTACGAAGGAAGCATGCTGTACTCTGCACCGTTTCGCAGCAATGTGGTTTTGTATCATGGAAATATACCACTCAAACTGCCCTGGCAATAGTTTCTTCTCATATATGGGAATAACAGTTCTAACGCAAGGCTAGAAATCGTAACGAGAGGGATTTCTTTGAGAAGAAAAGATTTCTCACATGTGTCCATTAGCTGCAAGCATATCAGCCATGTATCTGGTGTTTGGGAGTTGCCACCCAAATATATCATGAATCACAATCACAGCTTTGTCTGCGCTGGCAGGTGGTTTGCAAACATACGCCTTGATGTGCTCAACCTGCACTTCCCGCCCACAGCCCTCACAGTCAAACCCATCTCCAATACCACACAGGCAGGTCCTCGATTCATTAGCCATCTAGGAATCTGCAGGAAAGCAAAAAGGACAAACAGCAATATAATTTATTTGCAGTAACAACTGTGATTATGGGTCATAATCTTCATGTAGTCCCCACAGTCCCTTCCAGACACCTAGTAATACCCACTTGATACTGCAAAGCTAGAAGGGAAAGCTCCAGGTGTTTCTTGTAAACAGGCTCTTGACACCAGCCTTCTCTGGATGCCATAAATATTCACAAAGGCCAGCTCAGTCAGCATAACCCAGGAGCGCAGCAAGGCCAGGAGAAGGGCTCACGTCAGCCCATGACTCCTAGCTTTGTGCCTGGAGCAATCCAGTGTGTGATAACGACATTTCCATGTGATGTGCCCACGCTCTTTGCTTCACAAATATTCCTCTCATGGGGCCTTACAGCTCCTCCTCACAGGCTGGCACCTGGTCAGCTGGAGCTGTCAGCATGCTCCTTTTCTGACTTTTTCCCTTCAAGTTTTCATTGGGCTTGTCCCTTTTCCCTTCCTCCATCTGGAATCCAATGTGGCTGCTGCTGCCTACATGCACTTCGCTGGTCCCTTGTACCCCTGCTTCTTACACCCCTTTCCCAGGGAACCCATCATTAACTGGCATCTCTAAAAGTTCTAATAAACCAACCCCAAGGAGGTAAATCAGGAGAGGGTTTTCTCTGAGAGCTACACATTATGTAATCTGAACTGAGTGTGGTCAGAGGAATAGAGAGATATACACTAGCGTTGTGCATGTAACACATCCTCATACATCACAGATATGTAACTTCTCCAGGGGTATAAATTTTAAAGGACAAACTGGAAACTACTCCATTTCTCCTCAAGTGAAAAAAGGTTTCTGAAGACTTTATGACCTAAGAGGTCTTCTCAGAAGAATCCCTCAGGCTCAGTTTAATTTCTTGTTCCTTTTGACTTGAGATAGGCCACTGTAGCAGCCCAACTAAGTTTTGGTGTCCCCTACCCTCCCCCCTCCACCGAGCAGTAGGTGGTCATACACAAAATCTTTTTCCTACCTCAGCCTGAGAAGCTGTTTAACCTAGCTCCGCCGACACTCTTAACTGATCAAAACGGCCCTGTTTGCTTATTACCAAGAGCTAGTCTCTCCTCCCGTGTAAATGCATGCACTGGAACAAGAGTCCTTGGTCTGGCTGGTCCCCTCACTAAAGTGGAATGCAGCATGCTGGCAATAAAAATAAAATGCACTCTTCAATGCTTAACTATTTTTTGTTAGGAATATATCTTAACCATTTATCCCCTTCTAGATTTTCTAACTAATTCAAATAGGTGTCAAATAAGACCTTTCATACACTTCCAATACATCCTCCCCTCTTCAATTTCTCTGCTACAAATGTGTGTAACATGGTAAACAGTATTAAAAACAAACCAAGAAAACACAGTGAACAACAAAACAAATTACTCAAGTCCTGCCTCCTTACACCAGTTCTGCTTTTTTCACAGGACAACGCGCTTTGGGGTGATGCATGGAGAGGTTCCCAGCACCAAGGACTGGCCGCCTTTAAGGACGTCTCTCAACAGCTCCTTTTTTGAACAAAGCTTGTCTCCTGACCTTCTGCAATCAATCACCACATAACCTCCAAAAGATGCAGCTGGAATTTAACTTGCCAGTTAGACTGACTGCAGCTTTGCCAGCATTGCCATGAGGCAAAATTACCTTTTCCAAATCTCAGGCAAAGCAAAGGCATGAGACTTCAAAAGCACTCTGCATAACTGACCAGACTTAGAACAACTCTCCTACCATCGTGCTTGTCAACTGTTTTCCTCCACAAGCAGTTCATCTGAGCAGTAAGCTGACAAAAATTGATTTCTATTTAAGTAAAAGACTTGTTTCCTTTAAAATAAATCTATTTTAAAATACATGTTAGAACGCAAGCTGTGTTTAAACAAAAATAACAGTATTGCCAAAGTTTAATAAACAAAAGCAACCTGCTGCATCAGTAAGTTTTTTTAAAAACATAGTAACTCCAAGAATGTTTACGAATTATTCACAGAAAGG